AGGGTGTAGCTTGGTTGGAGAGTACTTACCGAGGTGGGCTATACACAGTACTTCAGATATTTAAAAAATAATAATAATAATTTTAAAAAGATCAAGCGACTACAGAGATGGCTCATCAGTTAAGTAATGCATACTGTGCTTACAGAGAACCCAAATGCAATTCCCAACACTCACATTAGAAAGCTCATAACCGAGGCTGGAGAGATGGCTCAGCGGTTAAGAGCACTGACTATTCTTCCAGAGGTCCTGAGTTCAATTCCCAGCAACCACATGGTGGCTCACAACCACCTTGAATGAGATCTGGTGCCCTCTGCTGGCATGCAGGCAAAAGGCTGTATACATAATAAATAAATAATAAAATCTTTATCAAAAAAAGAAGAAAGAAAGCTCATAACCACCTATAAAGCCATCTCCTGGGGATCAAATGTCCTCCTCTGGCCTCCAAGGGCACCTGCACTCACACTCAGAACACACATACATACACATGATTAAAAAGAAAATATTCCATTTAAAAATAAATGAGTAATTTAAAAATCAGTTAGTACAGAAGTAAGGAAGATGATGTACAGTGGAAATCTTATTTGGGAGTACAACAAACAACGGTTCCCTTAACCGAGTATGTAACCCAAGTCACATCCCTGTCCATTGCCTTTTTTCTAAATATAAAATGCTGTTTGCTTAGTGTTACTTAGTAATGTTTACTTCTTAAAGCTGTAGTGGTCGCCTGCTTTGGGCTGCTTTTATTTTGTACCTAGCCCATGTGAACATTACTGCCGTCCCAATCCACTTGCATTGCTATCAGAAAATTGTTCCGGTATACTATCACTTTAAACCCATCTTTACTGCTCTTTTTGTTACTGTAAAAACTGCGCCTGTGATCATTTTGTCCATTCAGTCTCCATCCTTGAAGCCCGTTGTTCTCATTAAGAAATAAAAGGATGCTGGCTATTGTGGCGCCTGCCTGTTGTCCCAGCACTTGGAATGTGGAGGCAGGAGAATTGGAGTTCAGGATGTCCTCAGCTTTGACTGAGTGTGAAGTTGAGTTTGAGGTTAGCCTGGGCTACATGAGTCACTGTGATGATGGGCAGTGCAGAAAGCTAGTCTGTGCCCTGGGAAAATAAACTTCAATAAAGATCCTACTGTGGCTCGGAAAAGTGTATGTACTCCAAGGGGCGGGGCACACTTGGTCCAGGGTCCCCCGTTATCAAATGTAGTAGAGAGCATCTCTCTACCTTGCCGGAGAGAAAATAGCTCTCTCCATTTCTCTGAGGATTCTGAGAGATGGTTCATCTTCTGCCACAGTTTCTCTTTGGTTTCGTGGTGTTGGGACAGACTTCTGAAAGCTGGACCTGAATACAGAGTCCTGGACTTTGCCAGACACTGCCCACCTCCTCCTTTCTGGCCAGATTTCCCTGCAGCTCTGAGTCTGCATGCTTCCTTGAGAGCAAGAGCAAAGGACAAGGAGATAGCGCCTGTGGCCTGTGTGCTTCTCTGCCACACTTGTATGTTTCTAGCCTGTGAGTAAGGAATTGATTATGCATAGCCTCACTCCAGGCAAGTCCCTGGGGAGCCAGTAACTTTCAGGGTGGACATAGGGATTGTTTGGTAGCTCAAGACTTACAGTCAGGAGACCCAGGTTCTCTGTTCACTGCCTGGTTCACTTAAACATTGAATTCTTTCTTTTCTAAAATGATGAAATAGATGCAATAATTCTCAGAGTTTTTTTTTTTTTTTTTTTTTTTTTTTTTCTGGAATAAAACTATGTGGCTCTGTCAGTCTCCAGCATAAGATAACACATGGGAGTTCGTGTAACTTAAGCTGTGACTTCCAAAATGAAAATCATTTTGCTTTGCTAAATGTTCCCAATTCAAGGGCTTTATAAGAATTCTTTGTAGTTTTTTCATTTTTTTATTATTTTATTTTACGTATATGAGTGTCTTGATAGCATGTATGTCTGTACAGCACATGCATGCCTGGTGTCCATGGAACCCAGAAAAGTTCCTTGAATCACCTGGAGTGGATTATAGATGGTGTGGGTGCTGGGAATCAAACCTGGGTCCTCTATAAGAGCAGCCAGTGCTCTTAACCACCGAGCCATCTCTCTAGCCCCTCCCTATTTGTAGTTTTTTCAATAGCTTACCTCTTGAGTCAAAACTGATTTTTATTTATTTTATCTTATTTTTTGGCTGGGCATGGTGGGGCAGGCCTCGAGGGAGCAGAGATAGCCTGATCTTTTCTGTAAGTTCAAGGGCGGTCTGGTCTACACAGTGAATTCCAGGCAAGGGGGGGGGGGGGGCACTCGACAGTGAGGCACTGTCATAATAAATGACAACAAAAGAACTGATTTGTTGTTGTTGTTAAAAATGTGGATCTGAAAAAATTGCTGTAGCTCAGTGCTGCATGCTGTCATAAAAATGTACTGTCCAAGGCTGGAGAAATGGCTCAGAGGTTAAGAGCACTGGCTGCTCTTCCAGAGGTCCTGAGTTCAATTCCCAGCAACCACATGGTGGCTCACAACCATCTGTTATGAAATCTGGTGCCCTTTTCTGGTGTGCAGATATACATGCAAGCAGAATGTTGTATACATAATAATAATAAAAAAATAATGTACTACCCAGGTTCTGGGCTAGGGTAGTGCTGGCTGATGGTAAAACACAGGCTAGTATAGACATCTGTGAAGTCCCGGGCTCATTCCTCGGCGCCCCGAGAGGAAAGCATAGTATTAGCTGTACAGCATCAGGCTGTGGTTATTTTACCCTCTTCCCATGGTCAAGGTCGTATCTACAAGCTGGCTGCTGGCTCTGTGCTTCACAATTGCTCTGTCCAGATTGTTGAAGCCAGGACAGTGTGCAACAGTGTTAAAGCCTGAAAGCTCAGGCTGGGTTTAGGTGGATGAAAGTACCCTTTTAGTCCAAAATGTAATGTTACATTGTTGCTGTCTGTTCTTTGACGTACATAAAGAAAATCAGTTCAAGATAAATTCTGTCAGCCTCCACAACCAGACTTAAAAGTCATGCATTTTGAAGTATACATGTGAAAATAATTTTAACTACATTTTTAATGACTGTAATATTCTCTCCTGTCATTAAAATAGATTGTTATAAATTTAAATAAAAGATTCCACTGGGCATAGTGGAGCCTTTCTTTAATCCCAGAATTTGGGAAAGAGAGACAAGAAGACCACTGTAGGTTCAAGGACAGCCTGGTCTATATAGTGAGTTCCAGACCAACCAGGACAGCATAGTGAGACCCTGTCTCTAAAGTGATGATGACGACGATGATGATGAATCGAGCATTCTGTAGTCTCTTTTCTAAGGAAAATTGTCTCTACCCAAACTCTTGTTTTCAACATGGGTCTTTCTGCTGCCTAAAGTTTTTTGTTTTGTTTTGTTTTGTTTTACTAAAATTGTTATGTTGTGCAGTTATTGCGAAATGCAGCCATGTCTTTGGGGCAGTTGTGATCCATCCCCACAGGACACTGGTAGCCTGTGCATTCCGGTGGCTCAGCTTCCCCTGCAGTAGCCAGTATAGAACCTTACATGCCCTTAGCCTGGGTCCCCAGGCGTTCCTGTGGCCACTTCATCCCTGTGGGTGGTGGTCTCCAAGGAATAGCTGCTGGGGATGGAGACTAGAGGCCTGGCTTCTGTCCTGAGCAGTCACCATCTGTGTGAACCTTGGATTAATCATTCCATCCTGTTGGGTCTCTGTGAGAAGAGACCTTCTAACTCCTTTGTAGCTTCTTAGCATTCTGTCTAGCTAAGATCATCCCAAATCTCAGACAGCCTACCTGTCACCAGTAACAGTGGCACAAGGCCTGGCCCAGGGATGTTGTTCTCAATCCTTACCTAAGCGTTCTCTTTAAAAACATGTTTTCCTTACTTAAAAAAAATTCTTGGGGTGTTAAAATGACTGAATGGAAAAGGCACTTGCCTCCAAGCCTGACAGCCTGAGTATGAGTCCCAGAACCCACGTAGTGGAAGGAGAGAAATGATTCTCAAAAGATGTCTTCTGTCTCTCTCACACACACAAACACAGACAGGCAGACAGACAGGCAATGGATTTAATCCTTCCTAACCTTTTTGGGGTTCAGTGAAATGATTTATGGGGCTAATGTTGAGAGAGGCGTCCACTGTAACATGTGTTAAATTATTTTCCCTGTGTGCTGTTTGAGAAAACAAAATGCATGTCCTTTATGTTTATTTTTCCCCCACCAGAGAGATGAGGAGGATGGCGAGGATATGGATAGTTATCAGGTATCGCTGCCACTGTCAACCCTGTGCATGGGGCACAGCTCTCGCTAATCGCCAGCCTTCGCAAAGCAGAGGCCAGGGAGGTGGAAACAGGGCCACGGAGTGAGAATGTGCAGTTTCTCACTTGCTTTTGGTTTGCTCTGTATGTGATCAAGCACACGATATTATTTCTCTTGATTTTCCTGTCCACTCCCAATCTGTAACCAGACACTGCACTGATTGCTCTGCCGGCTCCAGCAACCAGCTAGTAAAACCTTGCTAGCGAGACCATGATGGCTGTATTAAGACGAATATCTCAAAAACCACGCTGCTCTCCCCTTCAGTTTTTTGGTCCACTCTTGTCTTTTCTCTACTAAACTGAGCTTTGCCTCTCACTTCTGGAAGATTACTGTCACCCTAAATAAATGCCTTTTGATATCAAACAAAACAAACCACTTCTATTGGGCAACAAGCTTGGAGACTGTGCACAGACCTTTCTTTTGTTTTATTTAACCAGGTCCCCTCTCATTAGAGCCAAGCTTAGTTCATCATGTTGAGAATTTAAATAGCAGTGTTCTCTTGTTGGGAATGGAGAAAAGGGGATGAGCAGATGTGGCATAGATACCCAGTCAGCCCCAACTAACCTGACAACCATAGATGATGGCGGGGTCCTGGTCCAAGTAGTCAGCCGAGGTGACAGTTTCAGGCATGAGTTCCAGGTCAATTGTGCCGTTTCCCCATTCAGGTGGAAAGGATGGGTTCTCAGTGAGCCTTCCTGTATGTCAGTTGCAGGGACATTGTAAGAGAAGCTTCCAAGCTCCCACTCTTAGGATCAGGTCATCCTAGTGAGGAAAGTTAGGCCAGGGAGCATCTGGGGTAGAATTGATTTTTTTTCCTTCCCTACTCATAATTTTACAAGAAAGGATGAAAGTGAATAAAGACAGACCTCAGTGGGACGTCAGGATCCCCTCAGGTCTCAGCTGTGCCATCAACTAACGTCTTGTGGCTTTGGGCGCGCTTCCTGCCATATTCACGGTGGAGTCCCGCAGTTGCTTCTGGGAGTTCTAGCATGGCTGAGTGCATGTGGAGTTTTTGCATGAGAGATCTCTGGTTATCCTTGTGGTGGCGGTTGGCTGTAAAATCTTTGCAGCAGACTTAGGAGGTTTTCTGCTGACCTCTCTGCATTTCAAAAAAATCGTGTATTAATAGTAAGGCCATTGAACTCTGAGGTACATAAATACCTGTCACTCTCCCTACCATTTGATGTTCTGTGCTTCGAGCTTTGCTTGTGGTAGCCTCCTGCTTGAGATTCCACATCTTTCAGTGGATTGCTACCGTGCAAATGCACATAGACGTGCGTGTGTACACATGCAGCGTAAAATCAGATCATCCTGCTCTAGCATCGTTTGAGCTTGTCTTGCCCTTCAGTGTAACTGTCCTTCTCATCCAGGGGCTCTGATTTCTGGGTACCAACATCCTTGGTCAGCATGGAGTAATCTATGACCTCTGCTTTCTCACATATTAATTAATCACTATCACATTCAATGGCCTTTCCTAATGAAAAGTCCCCCAAACTATTCAAATACCTTTTTATATACAAAAGGGATCATTGTCTATGCATTCTATAGAGAAAGAAAAACCTTCCCTCTCTCTCGTTGTCAGGAGGAAGACTTGAACTGTGTAAGAGAGAGATGGTCAGATGCGCTCATTAAACGACGGGAATACCTAGATGAACAGATTAAAAAAGTCAGCAATAAAAAAGGTACGTGGCGGGGTCCAGGAGATGGCTTAGCAGATAAAGGCACTTGCCACCAAGCCTTGCAGCACAGAGCCCACATGATAGGCAAGAACCGACACTCACAAGCTGTCCTCTCATGTCCATGTGTACTACAACATGCTTGTCCCATCCCACACACAAAGTAAATAAATGTAAAAAAAAAAAAAAAGGGGCGGGGCATTGGTGGGGCAGCCTTTTA